AAAAAAAAAAAAAAAAAAAGCCACCTGAAAATATAAAAGGTTTCTTAAGGCCTTTTATTTAGAACAAAATTTCTCTCTATTGCACACACACACACACTAAAAAACACCTTAATTCTTCCTACAAGATTTTTTAACACATTATAGGAAAATAATAAAATAATTAATTTTAATGTATGATGCTCTTCATTCTTCTTCAATACCTTAACGAACAATGAATGACATTTGATAGTTTTAACCTGTTATATGGATATTTATTAAAGAATCATTCTTTTGATTTTGTATTTTTGAACATTAAATAAAGCTTTACAACTTCTGAAGGTCTAATTTTTCTCCAACAAGTGCGTAAAAATCAATCGAATACTAGATTAATAAGAAGGAAAAGAAAATTTCATACACACAAAAATGCTTCACATTATAAATTAAATTTCTAATTAAAGACAATTTCAGGGCCAAAGAACCAAAAAGTTGAATGTAGAATAATGACAATAAGTTTTATGTTTGGGAATCTAGTTATTGTCTCAAAAATGTTTAAGCCTTGCTAAGGTGGATTACCAATGCAAACCCTGTTTTAAATTGTGACACATCTACTTAATATTACTATTACAACAACACTATTATTACTGAGGTACAGTCCTACTCACAACAGTAAGATGTAACATTATAGCAATCACTTATGCATCATAAAAAGAGCTTAGCTAACTTTTGTCATCTACATAACAAGTCGCTCACTTTCAATAACAACAATTTAAAACCTTCAAATTCTAAATGTAAGAGAAGTTTTTGTGAGCATGCTTTAAGATGTAAATGGCAGAGAACAGTGCTTCTTTACAGGGTGCACTGAACATTAATTACTTACTTACAGACATTAAGCACAAAATAACTGATACATATGCCTATCTCCTCTTTTTTCAGCATACTGTGAGACTATTCGCACACTAAAACAACAACTCTGAATTGGAGCAATTCAGAATCTTCCAATGTAACCCACTCATGTGCTTTTATTATTCACTACCAGTCATAAGTAATACATTATTTGTAATTACTTTGCACCAATTGGAACTCTAAACAACTAATTTGTAACATTCTAACCAAATACATGTATAAACTGTTGTCAAGTTGTAATTCTGAAAGCAATTTTTCCCATTCAGGACGGATTTCAATCTCGAGAGAAAATATCCGTTCCAGTTAACACAGCTCATTCAAACTAGAATTACTAACATTGAACTTTCAATCAATGCTCATTACTTCACTTTGATCCAAACACAAACGTTTGTCTAATTTTTTCATCAGAATTACACATGTTTTGGACAAATACCTTATTCTTTTCCATAGGCACCACTTCACTCGATATAACGAGCAGATCGATTATCTGATTCCTACTTTTGAACACAACTAACTTGAGAGGTTTTTGCCTGAAAGACTGTATCTCTTGGCTCCTAGAATTAGTGTAAAAACAGACAATGTGCTAAATTACTAATTTTCAAGAAAACACTAGCAATGACCCAAAGGCCTCTGAAAGGGATTTCTTGACCTACACAAATGGAATGTCATTCTCACAAGCTTTGCAACAAATTACTATTTCATGTATAATATGAATATAACATTGTACAACAAATAATGAACTACTTTCAGCTTCACAAAAATGAATATCACATGATACAAAGTCTATTTAAAACCTCTGACCCCACAAGCATTGCATGAATCCTGCTATAATTTCCTGCCCTGCCATCTTCCAGGGTCATTGATAAAATAAAAGTACTTATATACAGGAAAAAAAGATAAAATACAATTTCTTTAAGAGACCAGCTCCTAACAAAACAGTTTTATAATAATCTATACACAAGGATATTTTACTGCATTACCAGGTAATTCATATTCACACAAAAAGGCAGGAAAACATCAACTTATTTCAATTTTACATTAAACCAGATAACAATCAGGGACTTATGTATCAACTACACTATGGTATACAGGTACTAACAAATACTAACAACATGATTAATCTTATTTCCCATTAGTCGTAAAAAGTATAGACAACTCTGTTCCAAAGGTAAGGCAACATTTGAGGAATTTACAGAGCTACCAACAAGGAACAATTATTCAATCAGTTCAACCAGGGGAAAAAATGTTGCTTTGCATTTAGAAACAGAGCATAACATTCATGGAAGATGAGTAAAACTCAGCCTACTAAATTCATGGGCATCTAAGATGCATCTTTCACAAGATGTGCATAACCATTAATCCACAGATATTAGCATCTGCACAATGGGTATCAATAACATCCGTGATTTTTTCACCATGGTAATGGGGAACCAGATCTTGAGCCAACAGTGAAGTCTTTATACTGCGAAAACACACAGATCTGAAATATAATAAAATTATTTTTTTTAAGTTATACTAAATTGAAAGATGCACTAGTATTTTTCTCTCTCTCACATTTACACTTTGTTTTGTTATGAACCCTTTAAACAAACGTATACATAATATAGCCACCAGCAAATTACAAAAATGTTTATTAAAATATTGTTATTTAGTTTCCATATATATTTTATATTTTTATAAAGTTCAAGTTGTGAACAACATATTTAAATTTCTGAACATTTACACTATTTAAAGTAATAATAATAATAATATATCTATATATCTATATATCTATATCTATATCTATATCTATATCTATATATATATATATAAGTATATATATATATACTATTATACTATATATATTATAATCATAGATATATAGGCTTTATTTACGCTTTTGTAAAGGAGATCAAATTATTAAAATCAATTAAAATGGGTACTAGAAAGTATATTCTCCTTAAACTGCACATATTTTCTAATATCATCTAATAGAAAAACATATTCTAAAATGACTGGCAATACAACTGAACTGTTTCAAGAGTGAAAAAATGCGCATAATTTAAGAAATTAAAAAAGATGTTGAAGTTTTTTGACACACTTACATTACATTCTAAGTTTTGTGACACTCTTACCTACTCCCATGCATTTTTTTTCCCCCAATCAAATCATTCTTAACAATGTATGAAATTTTTAAACATTGTCACAATATTCGAAGAACATTTATTAAAATAATTTACTCAGTATTTAACAATTTTATTCTAACAAGGAAATCCCTGGTGTAATCCTTATAAGAGTTGGTTAGAAAAATTTACCCTCTAAGATTTCAGCAAATTTAGTTAATACTATTTAGGGTCTCACTTAGTTTTTAGGTTTACATTAAGATTCAATGTAGATTTTAATTTATTTACAGAGCCATTCGAAAGATATGCTTCCCTTCCAGTTGAAAACAAAGAAGAAGGAAAGAACCAAGTTGGCAAAGGAAAAGATGAGAAGTCCAGTCACATCTAAGCAGCGACTATACTATCAACAAAGGAAGAGGTCACAAAGCCTAATACCTCAGAAGCTGCATTGCTTTCTTTCAATTTCTGCGCATTGGAAATTATAAATTTATTTGTTTTTGTATTTTTCTTGATTTCCTGGGATCTCAAAAGGAGGCCGATTGTTTTCTTTCAATTTTTGTATGAATTGAAAATTAGTAGTAGAGAATATTGATATGAAATTATAAATGAGTGTTTGATTCATCTACTACCCAGGAAGGGACGAGTTAAGTTATTGGGAAAATATTTTTTTTACGGCCTCTTATGTCATTTCATTTGTAATTCTCAACATTTTTTTTAAAATTTTGAATCCCTGAGTGTTAAGGAAGAATGTGGAGAAATTGAAAAGTTATTCATTAAAATCTAAGACTTATGGTAAATTCCAATTAAAATAGCAAAAAGCAAACGGGCATTGAAATAACATTATTTCAAATTGATTTCAATTTGAAGAGACTCATTTCAAACTAACATGAGAAGTGTGTTCATTCCACCTTTCTTCCCTGTTTTCTGCTACAGGTGTACAGTCATTTGTATAACATATTACTTATTTAGCAACCTCTAATCCTTATTCCAACATAAATGTAATCCAATTTCACTGCTCTCAGCACATTATTTGTGTGAAAGTTAAATCAATCTGCAGAGAGGATACACCCCAACCTGTCTCTTTGTTTATTTGAATATATCAGTTTTGCCCTTAGCTAATTTAAATCATTTGTCAAATATAAATAAAAAAGTTTAATTGAATCCAGAAATATAGTTGGACCTTCACTCTTGCATAAAAAAAATTTACAAAATAATAAATATGTAAATTGAGAATCTACACAACACAAAAGCATCTTCAAAAAATGTATTTATTGCCCACTAGTGTCAGAATACTTCCAAAAGATTTCAATACCAATTATATGTAGCTCAAGGTAATAGTAACCTGCAAATGGGAAATGAAACACTAATGTATAAAACTTTAAAAACCATGATAAAAAATGCTGTAGACCTAAAGGGAATGGATAAGAACAGTTGCAAATGGTGAAATAAACTCAAGAAAATGGTAAAATAAAATAAAATAAAATAAAATGGACCATGACAAATGGTTGCCAACAGCATGATATCAGGGCAGATACATTTGAGATTGAGAAATGTTCCAAGAAATGTGAAGAGAATGAATCTAAGTGGTGCTACAACAGCATATACCTGTAACAATGGTAGTGGTGGTGCAATATTATTATATGGCACCTTTTATCCTACTAACCTTTCAACCATCACTCAAAAATGGACATGATGTAACTCATATTAACCCCAAAATTTTTAAAAGGATGAGGTTTGTTTTGTAAAGTTTTCCCCCTTCCCAAAATTAAAAGATGTTTCAAAGACTAATATTAGACAGATCAATTGGGGAATATCAATTTTGGTGAAAATTCTTTGAACACTTTAGGGTTTGTTGTTCACAAACAGACAGATGGACGGATCTTGGGAGAAAACAACACTTTTCTGTTATCAGGAATCACCAAAATGTATATTTCATCAAAACCTCATTATTGATTTTTTGCAACAATACATAACTTTCTCATTCATGTAGTGTAGCATAAAATGGACACAAGAGAGAATTGTGCAAACTGGTAGAGAGTATGAGATCAAACATGGAAATTTGTCAATTATGACTGGATGAATAAAAAGAAATGTTGGAAACTTGACCCAATAGATTTGGAAAACTACAAAAGGTACAATGAAGCACTGCTAACTGAGTATAGGTAAAAATACATACACATTTTGTATGACCAGTGAAGGAAACGCTCTACAAATTACATCAGGAGGCATTAGCAAAGGCCCCATGGAATTGAGAAAGGGGACAACTTGGGAGACCTGGAAACATCTCAATAGAATTAAAACAACCTCTTGAAATCCATAGATACCACATAACTCAGACAATCAAGAAATGTTTGGAGGATTTAACTCTTTAAGAATGGAAAAGGGTTATATATCATCTGTCTATAATAGAGTTATCCAAATTGTGAGACACGCCTCCCTGTGGAGGCATGAGAACTTCGTAATAATTTAACTGAATAATGTTCTAACAATGTTTACCAATGCTCTAATTATTTCTACATGAATAGATTACTAACAGATACAATTTAATTTGAATGAGGAGAGGCACGTGCTGAATTTGTTACCTGAACGGAGTCAAGGCTGCAAACGTTAGAAAACCACTGATCTGTAAGAATGTATGTGAAAATTATGGTGACATTTTTGTTATAAATAAGATTGGGACACTGTATCTGGATTCAAAGATAGATGTAATAGACAAACAGATCAGCTTCTATGCAGGGAGATCTTGGGTTGACATCAAGTTCTATATCAAAACAAAATTACTGAAAAAAGAATCAATATAGGCAAACAAATGACCAACACCAATGATGTAATAGGGGCATTTAAAAAGGTTAAACAGTGAGTGATTATGATAAAGAAGGTATTAGCTAGCCCATAAACATTCTTGAAGACAGTAGGTATCGCAAACCTCGGAGGAAGTGAGAGCAATGATGATGTTTAGAAAATTAAAATAAGTGGTGATTAGGCGGTGTGAAATGGCAACAGCTATTAAAATTTTCTACTACTTACTACTATTAAATACTGATTATAGCTTTACCTTTTCCTCAATTATACGTATGTTCATTGAAAGGTTTGAATAATAAACTATGAGTAACAAGCCCAAGTCATGAACATAGGATTTTTGTTTTTATCCTTAAAAACAGGCAATGTTCATATTTTAATAATAAAAACACAGGCATCACATAGCAAGTACATAAATGAAATATCTCGGAGTGCTAACAAACAAAACAAGAGGTTGAGTAACAAAGGCACTGAATATTAAAGCGAACATCAAATTAATAAAAATGCGAGTATTACACTGGTTTGAAAATTTGATAAGAATAGATAAAAATAAGGAAATGGTACAAGTATTTGAAGCTTGTTAACAGTTTAGCTATATTTACTACCTATCAGTGAGACGGCAAAGAACTATGGAAGGGAGAAAAATGAACCGAGACAAATGGCAAGGAATATGAGTCACATACAGAAAGTTGCTTGAAAATGATGACGAGACACAAAAGAAAAAGTTAAAGAAATATAAATAAAATACAATTTTATAAAACAAGATTAATGTTTCTAAACACTAACAAATCTTTTCTAACACTTAACAAAATAAACCATTTAATTAAATGCATTTGTATGTTACTTTGAACATTGATAAGTATTAACCACATTAACATTTTTCTAGCATTCTCAAGATTACAAGTAATTGGAAAATATCTTCTCAAAACAAACATTATTTAACATAATACAATATTTAATACATTTTCATATATTTGTAATGTACAAAGAGTAGACATCTCACCTTGTCTTTCAGTTGTTGGCATAATTGCAATGCAACAGTGAACAACACCAAAACCTCATTTAGCCAGGGAACAGAGCAGTCAGCTTGATGAGCCTCATACTTAACACTGCCATGGGAGTTGCTCACATGGTAGGCAGCAAATACCAATTTATGACTCTGAATGTAGAAGCTAACAGCCAAATCTTCTGGGAGAGGTGGACTCAACGATTTCTGCAGGCATATCTCATTCATTTTATGGATTCTGTCAAACACTTACTTCACAATTAGGTCAAACACACACTTAACATATGAAATACATTATTTATATTCAAATCATACTGAATGGAAATTCTTAAGTCCTATTTCTGCACTGGTTTCAGGATACACACATTTTACAAGGTTTATTGATAAAACAGAATTGTAAAATTTCCAAATTAATTATGGTTGATCATGAAATTAAACAGTATTTGCAGAGTTAATTTCACACTTACAAGAGAGATTTATAGATATTCGATAATCCTTAAAATTATTCTTTCCATGCATATATTTAGAAATGCATGTTAGCACTTTCAATTTTAAGTAATGTTATATAACTAGAGCGAGAGGTCTGTGAAAAATAGAAATAAGTGAAAATGGGTGAAAAGCAATTTTGAAGTAATTTAAAGACTTGAAGGAACATAGATAACTGGGGAGTGGAGGGATTTTGAGATTATATAGAGGAAACATTTTAACTTGATAAAAATAGCATGTATAATCTTGACAAAACTTAGCAAACTGTTATAACATTTCAAGACCCAATATTTTATAAAACCAACCAACTTGATAAAAATAGCACATATAACCTTGACAAAACATTTGAAAACTGTTACAACAATGCAATGCTTAATATTCGGTCTCCTCCTCGGGTATTGTATTTGGAAAAACAGGAAATTATGAAAGCAGCATTGTGAAAATCTCACAATTAAAGTTAGTTTTAACATACAACATGAGCACAAAGTACAATTATGTGGTGAGGCTTACCTTGGTAAAGTTGTTGTTAAAATATCATAACATAATACCAATAAAATTACATTATTTCTATTAAAGGCCATCTTAAGCTAATTAACTGTATATGCACATAATTTGTGCAAGTCATAGTTACAAACATCATTGCTCACGAGGTAAAGTAAGTCCTTTGTCAATATTGACCATTGCTGAATGAACCACAGCACGTCTGACAGAGTACCGATTTAATCAGCAGGAACCAAAGAGAAAGTGAAAAAGGTGGAGGGGGAGGAAGGAGAGAAGAAAGTAAACATCAACTATAATCAATGTTAAAATACCGACAGACATCATACAATAAAAAAGGGTGTTGTAATCAATGAGAACGGCAAAACTGGCGCCACAATTAATGTTGTATAGTGAAGAAACATTATTTAATCTTACTCAGCACATGATCATACACTTTAGTGAAAATATTATTCTCTAACACTGAATTAATAGTACTATTTAATTTCACATACAGCGCTTCTGAAATTAAACAAGCATGGTATCGCTGCTCTGTTTAGTAGACAGGGATTATCACAATTAATTTTGTGTGACTTTTCTAATCTATGTTTGGATATCGTATTGAGCCTTTCCCCAATTTCCCTTATATTTTTCTTATGTACTTTAAATCTAATACCTACTTTCTTTTAGTCTGGCCTAAACACAGTCATGACATGAAGAGGCATACACCATATTTTCAGATTCTAGTTTGGGTATTTTGTCTTTCGCATTAGTAATTAAATTCTTCCTGTTCGTGATCACATGTATCATGACCACATCAATCTTGTCCCTTTTTAAATCTCTTCTTATATTAATAGTGATATTGGGAATTATTCTGACTTTTATTCCCAACATCACTAATATAATACAGCTGTTGCCATTTTCATGGATTCCTCCCCCCCCCCCTCATTTTTTTCACATGATGTCTGCAGGTATTTAATGTTGATTATAGTTAATGTTTACTTCCTCCTCTTCTTCTTGGCAAGCTAGTTATTCTATTCTTATCTGGACTTGGTTCTGTCTTATTTCCCTCTTCCCATCCACCTTTTGCTCCTTCTCTTTGGTTCCTGCTGATTAAATCAGTACTCTGTCAGACATTCTCACTCCGTCCAGCGGATGACCAGTAATGGTCAATATTGACAAAGGACTTACTTTACCTCGTGAGCAATGATGTTTGTAACTATGACTTGCACAAATAATGTGCATATACAGTTAATTAGCTTAAGATGGCCTTTAATACAAATAATGTAATTTTATTGGTATTATGTTATGATATTTTAACAACAACTTTACCAAGGTAAGCCTCAGCACTTAATTGTACTTTGTGCTCATGTTGTATGTTAAAACTAACTTTAATTGTGAGATTTTCACAATGGTGCTTTCATAATTTCCTGTTTTTCCAAATACAATACCCGAGGAGGAGACCGGATATTGAGCATTGCATTGTTGTAACAGTTTTCAAATGTTTTGTCAAGATTAATTGTGCTATTTTTATCAAGTTGAAGTGTTTCCTCTATATATTCTTAAAATCCCCCTCATTCCCTAGTTATCTATATTCCTTATTTGGTTTTAACTAAACATCCCTAAAATTCCATACAATATCAGTTACAAAAAAAGTGATTGTCTATGATTAGAAGGATACCGAATATTTAAACATAGTAATAAGCTTCACTATCACCTGAGGCAAGGCCAAATACCTGAAGTTATTTTTGGTATTTAGAAGCAAAAACTTTAATGTCAAATACTAGCTTGCAAAATATAAAGAATTGTGCAATGAAGTAAATTAAAGCAAGATGTTGAGAACGTAAAGTATCAGAAAATCCAAATAATAATTGGATTTAATAAACTTTGGACCATTTATGATTTTTCCAAAAATATAGCAAAAAAGTATTATAAGGCATTGTTGATAGGCGATAAATGATACTTGCGGTATATAGGTGGGGTGGGACAAGAGCGTATTGAGGAACAATCAAACAACTGAAATGGTGAGGCCAGATAGAAAGTGTAAATGAAGAATTTCAGACAGAATGATCTTCAATATGGTAGGGTGAGGATCGATAGCCGTCAAGGCATTGAGTAGTAATATTTTTGTGATTAGTCCAAGGAGATAATAAATGGGTGTATGGTCCACCGGTAACAGGAGAATAGCGAATCAAATGAGATTTTTCGAAAAAAAGTCTGTAATATTTGTGGGATAAATAGATAACAAATAAGAATAGAAATTTTATTAGCTGAAATTCAGTGGACATAAGAAGAGCCCCTGATGGAATTAGAACAGTCGCTGACATCATTAACAAAGCTATAATTGTTGTACATTCTACAAAAGGGAAGTTTAGGCAATAAGTGACAGACATTAATAAAAATATTATACGAAGGTCAAGTTATGTTTAAATATTAAGATTAAAGAACAAATTAGTATGTGAGTTTTTTTGGTAGTAATTTGATGGCCATCAATAGAAGCAACAGAGAAATACATTGTTGAACAAAACTAATTAAGAAGGAATTCAAAATGAATAAATTGTATCAGCCAACACCTAATGTCACTGGTAAGTCATAAGCAAAATTAGTAGATTGTTTAATTTATTAGCGAAACAGATTCCCTAACAATAATTAAGTTGTTACATCCAAACACTCATCCATCAGTATTGTCAGGCCCGTGAGACAAGATAGAACCCTGAGAAGCATAAGTATGCTGATGCCCAGAAAATTAAATTAAAACCACAGTTAGCCACTCCATTAATTATAAAGGGAGAGAGAAAATATTATAAGTAGATATGATTTTGATTCACTCCCCAAAAGTCATTCAGTCCCCTTCAAATTTAGCTGAATAATTATTGAATATTGTTTCAAACTTCCAGAACAAAACTTCAAATGACAAGGAAAATCTAAGAAAAGTATTTTAAAAACATTAATACTAGCAAAAAACAAAAAGCACCATCTTCATGTAGCAACAAAAATAGAAATAATGACACAACAAAAGCATTTACCTCTGCAACAAGAACAAAGATAATCTTTAATAATAAATTAACTATAATTAAATTAACTTATTTTTTAGTCCAAAAATATATTATACATTAAAAAATAATATAGGTGAACTTTCACTGAACAAGAGTTACCAAGTCTTATTAGGGCATTATGTGGCTATCTTTGATAAGACAAGGCAAGCCTTAAATTCAGTGAATGTAAACCAATACTTTCACCTCAACCTAGTAAGGAGTGAAACTCCTTCACATGAAGTTGATAGTATGAGAGATATATTGTGGATTGCCTTCTGCAAGTTTGGTAATCTCATTCACGGCCACAATGTAGTAAGCTATCCACTCACCATATTGCGACTGCGAAGGAGATCATCAATTGCCTTCTTGCGAGGCACCACAAGAGCCGTACGACCACGCTGAAGTGAACCCAAGATGCAGCCAAGCACATGTAAAACTTCCTCTGAAGACCTGTAGCACAATGTCAAATTACTAAGAAACAGCCAAATAATACCAAAACTAGTAAGGAATTGAAATATTACTGTAAACATATAGCACTAAATTTTTGGTTAAAATTTAGTATACAGTACACCCTTAGAGAAGCATGGGCTTAAGCCCTATTACTGTACGTGCTCAAATAGAAATGAATAAAACTAACGGATAGGTGATTTTCATGGTTCGCCCTTCATATGCTTTGTCCCCGATGCATTGTAACGCCAATTTACTTTTGAAGGCAAGTTTTCTCACTTCGCTTGCCCAGATCCAAGTCACGGCAAGGCTCGGGCCTTCGGCCCTCGCGTTTACTATAAACATCCTGGAGTCTATCCAACGCATAATTACCAATTCACTATTATAAGACATCAATTTTCAAGACAGCCTCCAGAATTCTAACTACCTAGTTAACGCCAGAACGGCGCGAAGTGTCGGTTTAAACAACTTCCTTAGGTTGTACCATATACTAAATTTCAGAAACATTTTTTATTTAATGAGCAACACCAGGAACAATGAATACGTACTTGAACATGTATGAACGATCTACATTATCTATATGACATAGTGCTTGTTGCAAATGATTTCCTGCATCCTGAATTTGTTGCAATTTCCAAGGATGTTCATGATGTACAGCAGTCCGGTAAACTACATTCTGCTGCCTTTGGACTCGCAAGTTAATATCCTACAACATAAGTATTCAGAGAGCTGTCAAACATAAATGACTGAAGGATACAGAAATAAAAATAAACGATCAAAACTTACAGCATGAGTAATGCTATCTCCTGTTAAAGTAACTACACATTTAAGTTGTTCAGGAGGATTCACTAAAACAAATTTGTCTTGTTTTATTGGTCCATCATTTCCACATAATGGTACAGGAAAACGGCGTGCACATTCCTAAAAGAATATTAAAAGCACTGTAATATGAAATATTTAATCACAATTTGGTATTCATTCATCAATTCAAGAAATACATACGACAACAATTGAATGAAGTTGTGACAATACTGCATGAACTTCCTCGTGCAATACCCACTCGAATTCCATTTGCTAGAAATAATTATAACAAGGTAAATGTACTTAACCTATAAAACATAGATATATCTAAAAATTAACACATGAGGAAGAAGAAAACAGTTTAACTATCTAACCAGAAATTAATTTCACATTGCCACTAAAGTATACACCCAATTTTACTTATGGTAAGACACATATTAATGAAAAACAGCAAGAAAACTCACAAGATTGGCAGATTCCTCCTTCTCGCTGTCCGCCATTTTTACTAGCTGCCACTACTTGCACGCCTACCAACATTACACCAGACTGAGAGAACCTGTCATTACATATAATTAAATCTTTTGCAGTACACCCGTAGTACAAGTCCGTATATTCTTCCATGGTGTACCTTTCTAATAAATTAGCAATCAATAGAACAGTGAATTACGGTTTTCCTTTTAGACAACTGAATCACACAAATGCAGGAAACCTTCGAAAACACGAATTCCAAGGGACTGACACAATCCGTGTTCTTGTTATTATCATTCGTGTTCTCCGATTTTTATGTATATCATTACTACGTTCCTTTGGCGGGATCTACAATTTTTCATTTGACGAATTTCATGTTGAGCGAATTCGTGCTGAAGATGTTTTATTGTATTATTGGAAGCTGAAAAACCGGAAACCGTAGTCTTTGAAATATGTCCTTTTAACAATTTATTTCTGGTTCCGAAAAGCTTTTCCCTCCCCTTGTAATAGTACCTAAGGGTACTGTAAAATATGAAACCCCCTTCAGTATAGCCGGACTTGTACTTATTTAATATCATTCCAAATAAATTTCTTTCGGTCTCGTCTTTTCCGATCTCGGCAAAATAAGTTTGCGAGAGTGCGAAGGGTATTGTGTGTCGTGTAATACTTGTTTTGTCCTTTATTCTCCAACCTTACCCTCCTGTTCTCGTTCATCTGCTTATTACTATTTCTTTCTCGCTCTTACCCACATACGTAAGAAGAAATAGTAGCAAATTGTAATCGTTCGCCGGAAAACGATGAATTTTCGACAGAAATACTCTTCATTGTTGAGCTCTGGAGACGTACACCGGTTGCGCACGCCTAGAGCTTTGAAAACGACAACGGGTTTAGGTGTGCGGGTTTGTGAAAAACGCGGGAGCGCCGCGAGGGTTTTTCTGCGAGCTGGATAGGCCGCCGAGTAGATTAAGGAGCGGCCGCGTAAAATCTCGAACCTACGCCCACGAGGGGAGAGGTGTAGATCTGGGGAACGGCGAAGGGGTTTGAAAAGAAGAGTTCGAATTTTGATTTTGGCAGTGAGATATCGAGCGTGCCAATGCCAGCGAAGTCCGCTGTCAAGCAGATTGCCTAAATACCTCGCTACGCTCTGCCACGGAAGACGCGCGCCCGCCAAGCTCGCCGTTTCAGCGGGGTCTGCCCTCTTTTGCGTGAAGTTAGGGGCCACGCAATGCTCGAGGTTAAGAGCGAGTCGTTTTCGACTTAACCATTCGGGAAAGGCGGTGAGACAATCACTTAGGTATTTAACTGACTGCCTTCCGTTCGCCGATTTCGCGTAATACGCATAATCATTCGCGAACATCACGACCCCCTAGCGTTGAATATCAGTCTAGTATCAGTAGGAAGCGGCGCGTCATTTATCTACAAGGCGAAGAGCGTAGAAGAGAAAACGCTGTCCTGGGGCAAGCCCACCTCGATTCGTCTGAGGGACAAACATACGTTGTTAACGCCCACCTTGGACTGCCTGTCAGAGAGAAAACTCGCGATCAGTTTGACTTAGCAGTCGCTTTCCCCGCCTCTGCGTGACATGTGAGCAACCCCGCATGCCACACAGACTCGAAAGCCGACCACACATCGAGAAAGACCATTCGCAAATTCTGCCGATCTCTCCGTGCAAAGCTGTGTCAGCTGCTGCGCGGAACTGTGACCAGCTCCAAAGCCAAATCGTTCATCTCTGAGAAGGCTGTGACGACGTATTTCCTGTAGCAAACGCGACAGAATCAGTCTCACGAACGTCTTCCCTATGATGGATAGAAGACTAATTGGCATATAACTGCTCGGGATTCATTTGTTTTTGCCAGGTTTTTCAGATAGCGAGATGGTCGTTTTCTCCATGAATTTGGGAAACATCCACGCGCCAGGCCAGCGTTCAGGAGCTCGAGTTTCTTACTCGACTCCGCGAGAGCGCGCTATTATGCTGCCGAAACTCCGTCTGGGCCACGAGCTTTTCTTGGATAAAGAGCTCTTTTCTCCCCCCCCCCTCTTCCTGGATTTCCTCTCTTCGGTACCCCTGAAGAGGCAGGAATTTATTCATAGCTTAGTGGTACAAAAATACTGCAGACGATGAGGTATTTGCAGTAATAGGAGGACCTAACTTAAATAAACTAACTTAAAACTAGCAGTGCTAAAACAGCACACACTTTCTCGTGATACTGTTTATGGTTATGTAATATTATACTATTGCGACCTATTGTAGCGTCGTGATGAAATAAGACGACAGGATATCATAACAAATGTTACAAGTTATGTACAGCGATAGCATGTTTGGAGGAAAAAACATTTATGGAGTTTCATTCGCCTGGTGCGAATGTGCTTGGTGTTGTAAGTACGCGCGACCCTTTATCGGACAGCGACTGCCGTCTTCGCTGTCTTTTCATGAATCCTCCAACACAACGCGTTCCAGCCCTCGGCAGCCCTCCGTAGCCAGTCCCGTAATTCCACCATGGTCATAAACCTCCCACGAAGGGTACATAGCAAGAATAGACTGTCCTTCCGCATTTCAGACAAGTTAAGAGCTGGATTTTGAATTCAAATGGGGAACCGTTCCCCTCCCCCCGTTGTTAGTTGCTAGTTGTTAGTTGTATCAGTGCGCTTTGCATCGTACTGATGTGCTTATGGTTAGGGCGAGACGTCTCTCATTGAGAGGAAGATATTTATTGTCCGCTACGTTACACTATGTCCAGTCGCGGACATTTTGTACATGCCAGAGAACAGGAGGGTACCTCTTATTGAATACAAAGCCAATGATAAAGGAAATTTTATTCATAAAAAGATTTACAATCTATCGCCTAACATTCAGCCACTTTATCGCAAGGATGATTATTTTCCACTTATCATAAAGACATTGGAACTTTATATTTCATTTTTGGAGCCTGAGCTGGAATAGTTGGTACATCATTAAGTATTCTAATTCGAACAGAATTAGGACAACCAGGTTATTTAATTGGAGATGATCAGACTTATAATGTTATCGTAACCGCACATACATTTATCATAATTATTTTTATAGTTATACCTATTATAATTGGAGGATTTGAAAATTGATTAGTACCATTAATATTAGGTCAGTCTGTCTATTTTTTCGTCTACCTGTCTGTCCGTTTGTCTGTTCGTCTGTTCGCCTGCCTGTCTGTCTCTCTGTCCATCTGTCTGTCCGTCTTTCTGTCCTTCCGCCTGTCGGTCGGTCTGCCTATCCGCTTTTTCGTCCGTGTGTGTTCGTCTGTCCGTCCGTCCATTCGTTTGTCCGTCCGTTCGTTTGTCCGTCTGTTCGTTTGTATGTCCGTTCGTCTGTCGGTCCGTCTGTCTTTTGCCCCGTCTGTCTGTCCTTCCGTCTGTCTGCCTAGTCGTCTGTCTATGCATGTCTGTACGGCCCCTCTGTACTTCTCCCTGTACATCTGTTTGTCCGTCGGTCTGTCTTTCCATCTGTCTGTCCGTCCGTTTGCCTCTTCATCTGTCTGTGTGTATGTCTCTCCGTCGGTCCGTTCTCTGTCCTGTCGTTCTGCCCGTCTGATTGAGACTCTGTCAGTCTGTTCTAGCTTCACCATGTGTAAGAGGATTTTCCCTCCTAAATTTAGCAACTGGATTTATCCAAATTTGCATTACCACGGCCCTCTAATAAGGGGTTTTCTGCCGAAAATTCGCTGTTTTTTCGCGCAGCATTACGTAACTTTCTCTTCTTATATAGTTCCTTCTTAAGCGCGAGAAAGTAAAAACTACTTTGTCTTCAGAGCTGACGAAATCTCTAGCAGTTTAATAAAATTATTCATATATACTCGGGGTCCCGTCTGGTAGGATCAGTGTGCCGCCACAATATATTATATTATAAATAGGCATTTCTTCCATAAGCAAGAAGAAATCATTTCATTGCAGTAATAGTAAAGAAGCCAATAGAATATTTCTTTTTCATAAAGGAATGTACGTACGTATATGGCAACGTGAAACTAATACATTGGCTATTTCGTATGTATATTCATTCCCATACATTTTATAAATATTGTTAAGTACAAATGGGTCGTGTCACTCCCCACAATAAATTGTCTGGTTACGCCAATGAATAAGTTATTTTGGCTCTCCTTTCCGACGGAATGATAGTGAGCTATATTTCCTTTGCTAAAAGCACCTGTCTCTTTATTTTCGAAATTAAAATCTTTGTCCTCCTCAAGATTGACTCACTTTCGAGTTTCATGATTTATAACTTCGTTTATAATTTTCAATATCATGGTTCGACAACACGGAACAAATCAGTTCAGCATGTGGCTTTTTTCAGGTCTATTCACCATTCTTCTGGTGGCTGTACGTTTCTTTACTGACAAAGACAGTCGCCCTGTATCTCTCGCGTGCGTATCTCTATGCTGTTGTTTTGCTTATCAATTGCTCCCAATGAATAAATTCATTCGTTTTCAATAAAAAATAGGCAAAAATTAATTTATCCAAAAATATTTATGTCTAAGCAAACAAAAACTCTGAGAGACCTTGGTTTCTATTATTCACATTTCAAGATCCTTACTATCTAGGACTTCAGATCAAAAAATTAAGCAAATACTGGTTTGTTAAGTGGTTCAGTACACTGTCAATTTATTGTGTACACGAAATGTACATTTTGGTGGAACCGTATTGTTCTTATATTGCAATGGTATGATCAATCGATTTACCTAATCAAATAAGTTTTATACTACATGTTACTAGCACATAGGATCAATTACGTTTTGACATCTATATCTATTACTCCGGATATATCTATTATCGTACCAATCAATTTTAAACCTTTCATTATGAATACGATAGAAGAAAAATTTAAAAAAGAGTCAAAAAACAGTAAAAACTGTATGCGACGCAGGGGGAGTAGATTATCTGGTCACGTTTTCTTAAGTTCCGGAATCCCTTTCCGTCATTTTAACTATAAATAGTTGGAAGATGAGTAAAAGTTTAACGTAAATAAATAAATAAAAATACATTTTAAAAATCTCAAGATTAGCAATATTTGAAAAATAGTCATTTTCGTTTCTGAGTTATAGAAAACTTATTTGCATCGATGCACGAATTGCAAGTATGGTTTTTCTGCATTGCTAACAAAATAGCAACTCGCACTTACCTACACTCTTACCATTTCAAGCAAAGGAGAGTTCAACAAAACGTGCGCATAGTGAAGCTACATTTACGTCCAGAAGCAAAACAAGGGGCCATCTCAGA